ACTATTCTCAGGTGAAGGCTTAAAATTACCCTGAGGACTTAATCATCATGCTCGGAAGGCTTACTGATGGATTTGCTTCACTACTCTCCGGTGAAGGCTTAAGATTGATTTGCTTCAATATTCTCAGGTGAAGGGTTAAGATTGCCCTGAGGACTTAATCATCATGCTCGGAAGGCTTACCGATGGATTTGCTTCACTACTCTTTGGTGAAGGCTTAAAATTGATTTGCTTCACTATTCTCAGGTGAAGGCTTAAGATTTCCCTGAGGACTTAATTATCATGCTCGGAAGGCTTACTGATGGATTTGCTTCACTACTCTTTGGTGAAGGCTTAAAATAGTTTGCTTCACTATTCTCAAGTGAAGGCTTAAGATTGATTGCTTCACTACTCTTCGGTGAAGGCTTAAGATTGACTTTGCTCCAATCTCATGTGTGCAAGTCTCTCTTTATACACGAAAATCTTTGTTTTTCTTCTACATCTGATGGTCTTCACTTCAAAGCAATGCTTTTTCTGTGGATTAGACCTCTTTGTTCTTCAGGGTATGCCTCTTTAAATGCAACTCTTTGCATTCGAGGTTTGAAATATTTCTTTCAATCATCGGGATTTTTAACATTTTGTATCTTCTCTTTTCGCCGGAAGATCTGTCAAAATCATGTATTTATGCAAGAAACACAAATGTAATTCAATGTATCAGTGTAATGCATTTTCTTTTATGCAAATGATGTTATCATGAATGCATAAATGTTGAATCAATCTTCACTTGGCTCCAGGGTGGTGAGCTCGATCTTCTTTCATTTGATCATTCTTTTCCTGGGTTTGCTTTCTATACTCGTGTAGCAACTCATAATTTCAACTCGCATTTTCGACAAGCCTTCTGATCTTCTTCTATCTTCTTGTCATCTTGTTCTCTGCCTTCATTTCGGAGAAAACGCTTTCTCTCTCAACTTCTTGTTATGGTCAGAAATATGACTGTGTTACCCCATTTTCGGAGACTATGCATGATTATGCCAAACTCCAGAATGATCAATGGGATAGCAACATATATTCTGATTTGACTCTTGAAACACATCACAAGGAGGATATATCCCAATTTTTCATGTCACCAAATCCTTTCTCATTTTAACATTGGAGTTGCGTAAGACAGCTTTCATCTCGAGTGATGGAAACAACACATGATCGCAACATTGATTCATCACCATACTCACTGGTTCGTAAAACATTTGGCCACACATTCATCTTTTTCCTGTGACTTCTGCCCATATCTTTCGACTGGAGAAGCTCTTTGCACAGTGTTCAGAGTTTTTATATAGTATTACAAGGATACCGAAACTCAGTGGAAATTAAAGTGGGATACCGGCTCGCCATATTAATGCATATGGAATTACAAGAGTAATGCAACCAATGATGGACAAAATGATCATATACAATAAACTCCACTGTCGCTGCTTCACCATTTTCACCTCTCATTCATTTCTATCCCATTGGAATGATTTGTCAAATTCAATGATTGTTCCACATGTCTTCACAGGTTTCCCAAAGATGCCCCACATTAATACATCTAGCTGAAACTAGTGCCGCAACATTATCTTATACTGGTATGGGCCTTCAAAATGCCCCAACACCTCAATTTGTAAGGCTCATTCTCAACGCCTTCTTGGTCTGAATCTTGTCATCTCAACATGATGTGGGTTCAGTCGTGCCCCAACATATCACAACTTGAATGTTCTCATTCTGGTGTCACTACACAGTAGTGCTGTCAAATAGCTTAAGGGCTTTTCTTCTTGTTGTCACAAACACTTAAGATGTGATCAATTTTTCCAACCAAATGTCTTACATTTAATACAAGTTGTAATATGTGTCTCTTCTTAATGATGAGATCATCTTCTTCTTAATGGGTTACTGACAATGTCACCTGGAAATGCTAAAAGCTTTTATTCTTCATTCATTCTGATCTCTTTAGACCATCTACTGCAAAAACGCAGAATGCTTCATGTTCTGACACTGCTTCTTCTCTTTCTTCCAATAGAGGCATAATGAGCCTCGCCCACTATAAGGACTTTCTCGTTTGAAACTTGTCCTGTTTGAAAATGTTTTTATCCCTTCTCTTATTTTTAGGGAATGTGAAAAATTTATGAATAAATTTCAAAAATATTGTCCTTTTCTTCAGACTCACAATCAAAACAAATTGTAAAACAAGAGTTCAATGAATATCAAATAAGTCAAATTCTATTCTAATCCTTCAAAAATTATATACATTTGAAAAGAGTAAAGATTAATGCCGACAAAAGGCTTAGGCTGACTTGGGAAGGTAATGTGTTTCAGGTTAGCTTCCTGCATCCTTGATCCTGGTGTTTTATTGATGCGATGAGGCAACCATTTTGCTTCTCTTCTGGAAATGTTCACTGGTTCTCGGCCTTCGTGAGTGCCTTTGGATTGTGCAATGCTTTGTCAAGAGATGTATAATATCACCCTTCTGTACAGTGGTTGACGATCTTTGTGTTCGAGCAGCCTTTTCAGGTTTTCAACTCGAATTCTCCTTTGGTTTCAAGACGTCATTAAAATTTTACGTCTTGAACCCCTCATTTTATTCTTCTTCTTATCATGCATTAAAGATTTTATAAAAAAATATTATTTACAAATAAAATTAACCTTGAGGGGCAGAATGAAGTCTGAAGATAGCCTCTCCACTTAGAAATCCATGTATGATTAGAAGGGACTTTTCAGGCACGTAATGTAGGCCAGGGCTCATGGTTATGAAAGAAAATGATGTATATGTCCAAACAAGTGTTTAAGGGTCATCGAACCAAGGATCAATTTGTTCTACTGTCTTCAACCTTGCTCTGCCTGATTTGAATCTGCTCGTGCATCTTCTCTTCTTCTTTTTTTCCTTCAATGTTTCACGATCTTCGGGTGAATAAAATTGAAATGTTTGAACCACTCGTCTTTAGGCGTTTGATCGATTTTCTTTCATTATTTTTCTTAGTTTCAATTTTTTCTTTTCTTTCTTCTTTTCTTTTCCTTTTCTCTTTCTACATTTCTCTTCTTTCTCTTAATGATGTCAACTCAATTTGATCTTAGAGTGCATTGTATTTGGTCTGCCTCATGGTGTCATGACTTGCTTCTGTAGCGAAATCGGACTGATAATCTTCACTCGTGCGAGCAGATGTTCTTTACCTTTGCCCTCCAGTGTAGAGGGTGATCCTTGGTTTGGGTTGAATCATAAAAAAAATACTATAAGCTCAAAAGGGGACCACAATGGATATATATATATATATAAGGATAAATGAAACAAAGCCGTTCATCATCTCATACATAGAAGTCTTCATAAAAGAGGTATCCCCAGGGGGACGAATTTTCAGGATTAACCTTATCTACATGAAAACAATATAATTAATGCATGATAGAATTATTTCAATGATTCCCTTTATTTCTTCTTCTTCTACGTAGTCCTCGCATGCCTTTGATTTGTTACACTCCATCTTGTCTTTCTTGTAGGAAAGGTCCTCGTCATGCCCCTAGGATTTATTGAGGTTGGGGAATTATCAATGATTAGTCTCTGTGTTATTTCGGGTAAGGAGTCCACCAATGGTTCTTTCGGCTTTGGATGGGACATGAAAGGTCTAATCTTGCCTCTTTTCAAAAGCATATAATTAATGAAATAGTAAAACAACTTTAACTCAAAAAAAATTACAAGATCAAAACTTTATTCATTGCTCATAACATAAGTTCTTTTAAAAATCCTTTTAAAAGGTTGAGAAAAATGACAAAAACATGTTCAAACAAGATGTTGCAAATGAAAAAAAGTTTCTTGATGAACAAAATGATTTTTGCATAATCAGGATGCCCCATTATTCTTCTGATGCCATGGCGTTTGACTCGATCGGGTGCTACGCATTGTGCTCTGGTGCCCCACTCGAACTCGTCATCCATTGTTCCACCAATTCTTATGTCAACGTCCCATTTTCAACGAGCCTCTCTATCTCCTTGAACAACATCCTACAATTCTCTGTCGCATGCCCCAATGCCCCTAAGTGGAAATTACAGACACTATCTGGATCGTAATTGTGGCCAGAAGGGTTTGGTGGTAATTTCATTGGTTTCGGTTTGAGATGTTGATATTTAATCAAATGTGGGTACAAATCTGAGATAGGAATTTGGAACACCTTCAGAGTATCTTTTGATCGTGGGACCTTCTTTGGGCGACTCGAGCAACCCACCGCCCCTTTTCTTTTGCGGTTGTGAGAGCTCTGGATGTGACATTCGTTCACCTCATAAACTTTTCCCTCTTGATTTTTTGGGCTTTTGGAAGTGACTTTCAAGTTTCCTTTGTTGATTGCATCTTCAATTGCTTCTCCAGCCACCATAAGATCCTTGAAGCCATTCATCAAATTTCCCAGCATTAACTCAAAGTAGGGAGCTGGGAGAGAATCATGAAATATACATGATATTTTTTCTTCTAGCAAAGGAGGTTGAACTTGTGCTGTCACTCCTCTCCATTTTAGGGCATATTCTTTAAAGCTCTCAGTAGCTTTCATCCTCATCTTCTGAAGGTCATGACGTTTTGGGGGGCAAGCCTTTAACATATTGATATTTCCCTAGAAAAGCATCAGCTAGGTTGATCCATGTCTTGATTTGCTCTCTGTTCAAACAATTGTACCATACCACAGCTGGCCCAGCAAGACTATCATGGAAGTAATGAATCAACAGATTATCATCATCTAAGTACCCTTCCATCTTTCTGCAAAACATTTTCAGATGAATTAGGGGGCAACTAGTACCATCATATTTCTCAAAATTAGGCACCCTAAATTCATGTGGGATGACCAAATCAGGGACCAAACTGAGTTCTCTGGCTTCTAACTCCTTGTGAGTGGCATTAACAACCTTCATATTTTTAACGGCTTCATTCAACCACTTGAATTCATTTTCAAATGGCTCATAATTGATGAGGCTCTTCCCTTGGCTTGAGTTAGATGCTCCGGGGTAGATTATCGCTCTTAATGTACCAGTCTGATGAGATTGATTTCCTTTATCCTCTACTTTCTTTTTACCTGCAACCTGCGGTTCCAACACCTGGGTCATTTGATTCGATGCGTCTTTCAGAGAACTCGATGCTTGATTCCTCGTGTCTAGTTGTAACCCGACCAACTGTTCTTGCAACTGATCTTGTGATTTCTCATTAGATTGCTCCATCGCTTCCATTTGTTTGTTCATGATGATGAGGAACAAAATGAATGAATAATCTTGTTATTACTGTCAAATAACCTCACATAAGTTACTTCCATGGTTTCATAATTAATGCATGTAAAATGCTTAAACAAATAAATGCAATGCAAATGCAAATGCTAAATGCAAATGCAAAAGGTGTTAATCCCGAAAGTGACCACTTTTAGAACAACCGTTCAATTAGACAACAAGAATTCAGTAAGTACACCATGTAATCAAAATACAATTGCGATTCTTCATCTCTTCATTTCCTCGAGCCGCATTCTTTATGGAATCTAACATTACACCCCAAAATTGTCGACGCATTTATCACCTTTGATGACGTCGGATGTCTTGAATCTTGAAATCTTCACTCTTACCTCCCATGCGATGTACTCTCCATATCTTTGGTGAATGGTCTTCTCGTCTTTATGAACGGTCTTCTCGTCCTTGGTATGATTGTATCTATCCCTTGAGTCAACATCTTGGTTTTTAAACCTTTAAAGGAATTCTTCAATCAGCTTCAGATCTCTTCATTCATCGGGTGTCCTTCTTCATGGATCGTTTGAACATCTCTGGATCTCCTGGTTTTGACTACTTAGTGGAGAATTTCTTGCCTCAATATGGTCAGCCTTCTTGTTAGTCAATCACTTGTGAATTAACACCCCACGATGACATGAGGATGCAAATGCAATAAAATCACAATAAAATAGACCTAGAACAAAAACAAGTTAGTACACATAAGATAAACAACAAGATAGTGGATACCGTAAACATCAAATAAAACCTACCCTCACATGCTGGCTACCTAATTATGCTTTAGAAGATCCTACCCGACATGATATCTACCCACATGTTTTGTCATTCATAAAAGATCCTAACCGCATGGTATCTAATTCACATGATTCGTACGAAAATATAAAGCCTAACCGCATGCTTTTCTAGTTCTCATACTTATTGCAAAAATAAATTTGAGGAAAAGGTTAGAGTGAGTTTCCCCTTTATGTCTGCAAACAAAGATTCAACATATAATGGGCAGAGCTTTGGTATCACTAAAAGGGTCCTCGAATTGTCCTTTGCTGGTGCCCCATTGAGCTTGCCAGACCCTCGATCCTCACCCATTATAGGCTTAAAACGGATCGAGTTCAATTCGAGAGGATACATTTCCCTATGTCCATGCGAGGAAACTCAATGTTTCACTCGTAAACATAAGGCATGTACCCCAGAGGTTACTTGCTAAAGCCCATGCGGAGAAAAGTAATTTTTCTCACGTAAGCGTAGCGTTCACCCCTAGCTAACGGGACAGAGCACAGTTAGAAGGCTCTAAATATCAAAATGGTTATAGCGACAATAAAGGAGAAACCCATAATCCTTTGCCTCGATCCAAGAAACACAACAAACTAAAGTGAAGGTCAAAAAACTGAAACATGTAAATCACACGTTAGTACAACTATTTATTTGTTAATCAAAGCGCAAATTAAAATGCAAACAACAATTTAAAACAAATCAGGGATCAAAAACCAAATTAAAGTGATCTTACAACTTTCGTTTACAAAGACAATTAATTAATCGACTATAGGCTTGACTCTCTAAAAAGTCCCCAACGGAGTCGCCAAGCTGTCGAAACAATTTTTAAACGAGTGGGGTGCAAGATTTTGGAAACCGCGTCATTTTTAATTATTCTATTTTCAATTGAATTTTTAATTAAAAACAATGTGATTTTTAGAAAACCTCTCGTTTCAAAAATTTGAGAATTCATTCACGATAAAAATACAGGTTCGAAGAATCACCACCAATCCTTGATTAGGGTGTGATTGGACACCCAAAAACGTTGTCATTTTAAATAAAAATTAATTTTAATTAAAACAACAAATTTAGGTATGCGTTACCAAAATATGAGTTCGGGAGTCGGTTACGCGTGGGGAAGGATTAGCACCCCCACAGCGCCCTAAATCGGTACCTCATCGATTAATTAATGTCTTTGCAATGAAATTTACAAATTCGATTTTAGTTTGGTTTATGATCCCGGACAAAACAACACATGAATTTTACAACATTCAAAAGCACCAAAATAGATTAAATTAAAATTACCCAACCTTTAGAAAGATAAAGAATATTCGATTATTTACTAATATCGAGACCAAATCTTAGATAAGTTCTAACTATCTTTTCTCGATAAATTTAAATAGCCGAATATTTCTTTTTCTTCCGTTCCCAATTTTAAAGTGATAAATCAATTCCTTAGGTGTCACTGATGGGATACACTTTTAATTTAAAATCGTTAAAAGCAGATATCTAATAAGTTAAGACAACCCACTTAAAATAATTTTAAATTAAAAGTATATTACCCTTAATTAAATTATGTAAATACATCGAGTTATGCATGTGAGGATACCATACAAGTTATGTGGAAAATAATGTCATGCAAAAATTAATTAAATAAAAGGATACATTACAACTAAATCCATGCTTGTGAACCACGTAATTACATATGCACACATATCACCATCATTCAAACCTAAGAAAAGCATATACCCTAAACGAATCCTAACTAATCATATATGCATACACATAAGAAACTTAAACATGGACTAAAACGTAATATGTAAAAACTTGGAGCCCTAATGTCTAAATGACAAAAACAAAATAACCAACATTTATGACTTAAATTAAATGCGCATGAAATACAAAGATCAAATTAAAAATACAACATATTAGATTTAAAAACTAAAACGCCAATTAACCAAAGTTGCATGCCAAATGCGAAAACAAACAAAAAAGAAAAATAACATAAACAGATGACTAAAAAATGCTTACACACATGAAGATCAAATTATTTGGAAAATGTGATTTAGTGACTAAAACTTAGCATGCAAAACAACGAAAGTCAAAAGTCTAAAATAACAAAATTTAAATAACATAACACCTGGGACCGAAATGAAATGCGCGAAAAATATAGAAACAAAATTTAAAAACATGCAAACTGCGACCTAGGGACTAAAATGTAACATACGAAACTTAACAGCCAAATCTAAAAAGGAAGGAAATCACATACATTGCCACAGGACTGAAATTAAAGACACATAAAATATAGATACAAAATTGGAAACAAGGAAACAAATGATTTAGGGACCGAGATGAAATACACGCAAGACCTAGTGATTAAATCAGCATTTCATATATCTCGATTGTTGGACTAAAATGCATAAAGATTAAAATTAGAATGGCTCATATAATAGATAATCCATGCGTGAAATAGGAAACCCTAAATCCTCTACACGACGCCGTTTTAGCCATAAAATATATATGGTATTTTGGGTAATGAGCTAACCTAGCCCTCATTTATCATCCTCAGTAGCCGGTCTCTCTACTATCTCAAGTCCTCACAGCGCCGCTCGAGAGCCAAACCCGAAGGAGTAACGGCCGCCGTATCCGACCTCCAGGCGACGAAGACCACCAAAGGCCCAAAGCTAACTCACTCTCAAACTTCTCTCACGCGAACGGTCACTCCAAAGCACCAAAGAACCAACGCCGGCCACCGTGGCCTCCGCCAAGGGCCTTTAAGTGTTTTGATGCTGCCCAAAAGCCAGACGAAACCGGTGACAAATCTCACACAACGGAGGCCTCTAACACAGGTAGCAACGATCAAACTCCTCTCTCTTTAAATGTGATTTCGAATGATTGAGGATGATTTTCACTGTTTTTCATGCTTTAATCTCTATTTCGTTTATAGCTGGGCACAAAAATGGTCTTTAGAAAAATGCTTCTGAATTTTCGTTTTGCTTGAATCCTCTATTAGAATCGTCCCCTGTTGCTGGTCTTTTCTTGCTGATTTCTGGTTTTGTTCTCTCCCCTGTTCGTGATCTCTATTTTTGCTTGAATGTGTTCTTCCTCCTTTTTTTTCTTGCCCCCTGTTGGTTTATCGTTCACCCCGATTCTGGTTGTTGCGTGTCTTCTTTCTCTTTCTACTGACCGAGAACCCCCTGTCTTTTTTGTGTTTTCTTTTACTTGTCAATGGCTACTGATGATTCTCCTGCTCGAAAAAATGGTTCTTGATGACCCCCGTGAATTGTTGTCCTATTGTCGATTGAGAACCCCCTCCTCCTGTTGTCGATTTTTTTGTGTTGGTTTTTGGTTCCGTGTTTGTAATTGTTGCCTTCCTTTCTCCTCCGCTCCCCCCAATGGCCTCCTTGTTTGATGTGTTGCAGGTTATGGGTGCCAATGTGATTGGGTGTTTGGGTGTTGTGCTGTTGGAGTTTTGTCGGGCGTGCACGAGATATTGCCGTTGGTGGGTGATGGGAACCGAGCTGTTCTGCTCGGGTTTGGTGTTGGCATTGACAGTGGAGCTTCAGCAGTATGGGCATAGGTGACATGGGAACATGGGACAAGGCCTCGGGAGGCACCAGCTGCTGTTGGGAGTGGAGTAGAGAATCGAGATGTTCTGCTCGGGTTTGGTGCTGGCATGGGCAGCTGCTCGGTTCTAGCGTTTCACGTGGGAGACAGTTGCTAGGGAGCTGTGTTGCACATAGAAGACATGGACGACAGCCACCAGTGGTCTCACGTGGGAAGCAATGGGCAACTCGGGTCGGGTGACTGCTTCAATTAGGTCGGTTTACAATCGAGTTTTAGCTGGGTCGGGTCTTGATGTAATTGGGCTAGCTTTGCTATTGGACTCTAGATGTAAATGGACTTTACACTTAATTGGACTATGAATTGACTTTAAATTTTGTGTCTTGATATCCATATACGATTACAATTCCAATTGAACACCTTAAAGCTTCCAAAAGCAAACTTCCACACTTCGTCATTTGAATTAATTCTTCATCGAGCACCAACACCTTCAAATTATCCTCGGTCATCTCTAAAAGGAATTAAATGGCCCGGACAAAATTAAGGTATTACAAGTATTCTCTCCAATAGACCTATTATTTTGTTTATATACATTCAAGACCTTGTCAATTTTAGAGCTAATCAATTTAAGCTCTAAAAAGAAATCTTCCAATTTTGTCCCTCATCGTTCAATATTAAAACTAAATAGTTATATATCTTAAAAAGTTAATTTCACTATAATATAAAAATAAAATTTATTTTGACAATATAATTTATTAAAATAAACTTAAATCCAAAAATATGAAAATTTGAATAGTGACTTCTCCCTGCAATGGAGTTAAGTACTGATTGACACCTTGTATTCTATTACAAAGATAAGAATGAGATGCAAAAAGCATAAAATAAAAACTTTTATAATTTTAACTTAATCTTATACTTTCTTTTTATTTATATTAATTTTTAAATTTAAATTTCGTCCTATTTTAAGTCCTCTTAATAATATGACACTCATGACATAATGTCACAAAGATTATATTATAAAGAGGACAAAAATAGATCAATAATATAAATTAAAAGATTAAATTAAACCAACATCAATTTGATCAGGTCAATCCTTGTGATTTTGAATTGAGTGAACTAAATTGAGAGAATCACCTCAAAATAGATCTATGCGAAACTTAATCTAAATTACGAAAGAAAATAAAAGAGAGGAAAGCTTACCAATATGACTTGGGATCGATGTTACAAAAATTGGCGTAAGAAAAACCCACTCATTCCAACTAGAAGAGAAAAAATGCCTTTTTTTTATTTAATCGAAGAGAATTGTTGTAATTCACCTTTCAAAGAAGACGAGGAAAAAGACCCTTGTGAGTTTCTGTTTTGGAGTTTGATCCTTATAAAGCACAACAATTAATGTTAGTTTTGAAAATATCTTCTCCTTTACTCCTAAAGTTTCAATGTCATTGGTTTACAATTTAAAACGATGGGTAAAGTAAATCAGAGGATTGAACTATGTTTAAACAAATGTTTTGGTCATTCAATTTTTTACAGATACAAAACAACCAATAGATTCATCAAAATATTATAAATTATTAATGACATTTTATTGAATTATTATAGAATAATCATTAAATTTTATCAAATTATTACAAAATTTTCATTAAATTTATCATATTAAAAACTTTATATAATACCACAATGATTATTAAAAAATTGTCACTAAATAAATTTTTATTAAAATTTTAAAAGAGAGCCATGATTTTTTATTTAAAAAAAGAAACATTAATTCTCTATGAGTGTCATTCCACTAGAGGAGTTGTAGGTCTAGACTCAGTGTAGTTAATTGTGTGATAATAGTTAACAGGTCTTCGCCTCTCTGACCACCCCACCATGCTGATTCCCGTACATGCCATCAAATAATAAGAAGGAGCGGCGACTACTCTTTGGAAACTATAAGATATCTGTAATAATATATTTTGTCTAACTATTTGAGCTTTACCAGTAATAAAGTTTAGGATCAAATTTGGGTCATCATCTTTAGATCTCGAATCAAATAGATCAATTCAGATAATCATATTTGAATCAATTTCGATCCAAATTACGAAAGAAAAGAAAAGAGAGGATAACTGACCAGAATTATTGGGGATCGATGTTGCAAAAATTGGCGAAAGAAAAACCCATTCATTCCAACTAGAAGAAAAAAATTGCTTGTATTGATTTAATCGAATAGAATTTTTGTAATTCACCAAGCAAAGAAAATGAGGAAAAAGACCCTTGTGAGTTTTTGTTTTGGAGTTTGATCCTTATAAAGTACAACAATTAATGTTAGGTTTTAAAAATATATTCTCCTTCACTCCTAAGGTTTCAATGCCATTGGTTTACAATTTAAAATGATGGGTAAAGTAAATCAGAGCACATTTAACTATGTTTAAACAAATGTTTTGTTCATTCAATTTTATAATGTACAAAACAACCAATACATTTATCAAATTATTATAAATTATTAATTACAATTTATTGAATTGTTATAGAATAATCATTACATTTTATCAAATTATTACAAAATTTTCATTAAATTTGTCATATTAAAGGCTTTATATAATACCATAATGATTATTAAAAACAATTCAGTAAATAAATTGTTATTTAAAATTTCAAAGAGAGCCATGATTTTTTATACTTAAAAAAAAAGAAATATTAATGCTTTATGAGTGCCATTCCGCTAGAGGAGTTGTAGGTCCAGACTGGGTGCAATTAATTGTGTGCTAACAGTTATCAGGTCCTTGCCTCTTAGACCACCCGACCATCCTGATTCTTGCACATGCCATCCAACAATAAGAAGAAGCAACGACTATTTTTAGAAAACTCTAAGATATCTGTAATAATATATTTTGTCTAACTATTTGAACTTTACTTGTAATCAAGTTTAGGATCAAATTTGGGTCATCATCTTCATATCTGGAATCAAATAGATCAATTCAAATAATAATATTTGAATTAAATTTGTCTGATCTACTAATAAGATACTAGTAATCTCCTCTCAAGTAGACTTATTATTTGGTTTATATAAATTTAAGACCTCGTCAATTTATAGCTAGTCAATTTAAACTCTAAAAAGAAATCTTCTAATTTTGCCCCTCGTTGTCGTTTAATATTTGAAAGTTTCACCAAAAGAAACTAAATAGTTATATATCTTAAAAAGTTAATTTCATCAAAACATAAAAATAAAATTTATTTAGACAATATACTTTACTAAAATATATTTAAATCCAAAATTATGACAATTTGAACTGTGACCTCTCCCTACAGTGGAGCTAAGTAATGATCGGAACCTTGCATTCTACTACAAAGATAAGAATGATATGTAAAAAGATTAAAATGAAATATTTTATAATTTTAACTTCATCTTATAATATCTTTTTAATTATATTAATTTTTAAATTTAAAATTCATCTTATTTATAGTCCTCATAATAATATGACACTCATGACATAATGTCACAAAGATTATATTATTCCGAGGATAAAAATAGATCAATAATAAAAATTGAAAGATTAAATTAAACAAACAACCATTTGATCAGGTAAATCCTCGCGATTTTGAATTGAGGGAACTAAATTGAGAGAACCCCCTCATAATAAATCTCTACAAAATTCGATCCAAATTACGAAAGAAAAGAAAAGAGAGGATAACTGACCAGAATTATTGGGGATCGATGTTGCAAAAATTGGCGAAAGAAAAACCCATTCATTTCAACTAGAAGAAAAAATTGCTTCTTTTGATTTAATCAAATAAAATTGTTGTAAGTCACCGAGCAAAGAAGATGAGGAAAAAGACCATTGTGAGTCTCTGTTTTGGAGTTTGAACCTTATAAAGTACAACAATTAATGTTAGGTTTTAAAAATATCTTCTCCTTCACTCCTAAGGTTTCAGTGCCATTGGTTTACAATTTAAAACGATGGGTAAAGTAAATCAGAGGACATTTAACTATGTTTAAACAAATGTTTTGGCCATTCAATTTTATAATGATACAAAACAACCAATACATTTATCAAATTATTATAAATTATTAATTACAATTTATTTAATTTTTATGGAATAATCATTACATTTTATCAAATTATTACAAAATTTTCATTAAAGTTATCATATTAAAAAAATTTATATATTACCATAATGATTATTAAAAATTTGTCACTAAATAAATTGTTATTAAAAATTTCAAAGAGAACCATTATTTTTTATACTAAAAAAAAGAAACTTTAATGATTAATGAGTGACATTCTGCTAGAGGAGTTGTAAGTCTGGATTGGGTGCAGTTAATTGTGTGCTATCAGTTATCAAGTCCTTGCCTCTTAGACCTCCCGACCATATTGATTCTTGCAGATGCCATCCAACAATAAGGAGCTGCGACTAATTTTAGGAGACTCTAAGATATCTGTAATAATATATTTTGTCTAACTATTTGAACTTTACTTGTAATCAAGTTTAGGATCAAATTTGGGTTATCATCTTCAGATCTGGAATTAAATAGATCAATTCAAATAATAATATTTGAATCAAATTTGTCTGATTTACTAATCAGATACTAGTAATCTCCTCTCAAGTAGACCTATTATTTGGTTTATACATATTTAAGACCTAGTCAATTTAGAGCTAGTCAATTTAAGCTCTACAAAGAAATCTTCTAATTTTCTTCCTCGTTGTCGTTCAACATTTGAAAATTTCATCAAAAGAAACTAAATAGTTATATATCTTAAAAAGTTAATTTCATTAAAACATAAAAATAAAGTTTATTTACACAATATATTTTTTTAAATTATTTAAATCCAAAAATATGCAAATTTGAACGGTGGCCCCTTCCTGCAGTGGAGGTAAGTAATGATCGGCACCTTGTATGTCACACCCTAAAATAGGGCCTAAAATTTTTCGAGGAATAAATTAATTTTTTTTAAATAAATTTGGGGCCAAAGTGAAATTTTGGATTAATATCATATTCAAATTCAAAGTATTAAAGATGGAGGATCTATAGTGTAATTTCACCATTTTTTCTTTAGGGAATATATAGCCCCAAACCTGGTCAATTTCCTCATTTTGAAACCATATTTTTCTCTCTCTTCAAGCTTCATCTTTTTGCAAAAATCTTTTATCTTCGATCTGTCACCGATCCTTGCTTAATTTTCGATACCTCCCGTATCATCGTGTTCTTTGCATCGTCTCGAGTCCACTAGTGTCCTTCTTGTCTCCGTTGTCACCGACGTGTGAAGGGGTGAGGAATATCAAGTTTCTGACGTTCCATAATCGAGCTCTCTGCTGTTCAAAGTTGTGAATCGAGCTTGGTAAGTGCCTCAAAATCCCTTAAAATAGTCATATAAATATTTGTAGAATTTTTTGGACCCCCTAGACCG